AGAGAGAGAGCGGGGGCGAGAGTGAGAGTGGGGGCGAGAGAGAGAGCGGGGGGCGAGAGAGAGAGCGGGGGGCAGAGATCGAGGGAGCAGAGAGAGAGCGGGGGGCAGAGATCGGGGGGCAGAGAGAGAGAGAGATTGCGGGAGAAGAGATCGGGGGGGACAGAAAGAGGCAGCGTCACTAGAGGCCACTCCTGCCCCCTGCCCGTGAGTCTGCCCATCCCCCCCCATGCCTGTCCCCGGGGGGCCCCCGGTGACCCCCCATTCCCCAGGTTGGGGTGGAGAGGAGTCTGGAGGGGTCTCTGGACGGGGGTGGGATTGGCTGCTATGGGGCCTGGGTGGGGGTCAAATAGTCCTGCCCCCTTTAAAAAAACCCTAATAGGACCCCATTGCCCCCTGGCCCCCTTGGTCACCCCCACTGCAGCGCCCCCAGAGACCCCCTCTGCCCCCAACCCCCTACTAAACCCCCTCATTCCTTCGCCTCTCTCCCCAACCCCTTCCTTCCCCTGCAGCCCTCCAGTGACCCCCTGCCCCCCACACCTGTATCCCCCCAGTTCTTCCACTGCAGCCCACAGAGACCCCTCCTCACCCCATCTCAGACCCCCGACCCCTCCCCAGGATCCCCCTCATTCCCTAACCCCCGTCCCTTCCCCTGCAGCCCCTCGGGGGGGGGTCTCTGCCCCCCAACCTGCTCGCCCATCTCAGACGCCCCCCTTCCAGCACCTCCTGCCCTGGGACCCCCTCCCCCCACAGACATGAAGCTGCGGGGGGGTCCTGAATAGGATGAGCCCCCCCCCGGGGTATGGTCCCGCCCCCGCCTGTTATTGCTCCATCTCCCCAGCAGGGAACAGCACTTTGCCCTATGGGGGTGGGTCAGGGGGTCACAGGTCTGAGTTGCCAATGAGGTCAGAGGTTCTTGGGGTGATGGGGGTCAGAGGTCAGTGGGTGTCAGAGGTTCCTGGGAGGTCACAGGTCAGAGAGGTCAATGGGGGGGGGGTCACAGATTCCTAGAGGTCAGAGGTCAACGGGGGTCAGAGAAGCCCAACAGGTCAAAGGTTACTGGGGGGTCAAGGATCCCTGGGGTCAGAGGTCAGAAGGGTTAATGAGCTTCAGAGGTCACAAATAATTGAGGATGGAGGGGTCACGGGGGTGAGAGGTCAAAGACTATGGAGGTTCAGGGATCATAGAGGTCAATGGGGGATCAGAGGTCAGAGCAGTCAATGTGGCAAAGGTCAGTGGGGGGTCAAAGGTCCCTGGGAGGTCAGAAAGGCGAAGGAGAGGTCAGAGGCCAGAAATGCCGGGGGTCATGGGTCAGAGAGGTCAGTGGGGGTCAGAGGAGTCAAATGTGTCAAGGATTCCTAGGGTGGGTCAGAGGTCAATGGGGTCAGGGGCATCATTGGATTGGGGGCTCCCTGCTGGGGTCAGAGGTCAGGGTTTTCTGTAGGTCAGATGGCCATGGGGTCAGGGGGTCCCTGCTGGGGTCAGGAAAGGTCAGAGGTCAGCCAGGCGGCCATGGGTTCCAGAGAGGCCACACATGGGGGGGGGGTGAAAGGTCAAAGGTCAGGGGATCCTGGCAGCCAGGACTCCCCCGGGTCAGAGGCCACTACCCCAATTCTACCACGTTGCCACGGAAACATTAAAATTTCTCCCCCCCCCCAAAAAATGGGTTTCCTTTTCTAGGTCACATCTCCATGGCAACCGGGGGCCTAATTAATTCTGTGCCAACAGAGAGCGTTAATTAGACGCAAGGAGGCCTTAATTAGTGTCTGACGGGCCGCCCCTCCCCCCACCCTGTTTAAGATGGAGGAAGGGATGACGGGACCCCCTCGCACACTCACAGAGCCCATTGCACGTGCACCCGAGACATCGCACACACACCAGCCAGCTCGCACGTGCACAGCGCCCCCTTGCCACACAGAGAGATGCTTGTACACTCACAGACCCTTTGCACACTCAGAGCCGCTCACACACTCACTGAGTCCCTCGCACGCACAGCTCCACTCTAAAACCCTCGCACACTCATCGGTCCCCTTGCAGATACACAGACAGTCCTGTGCACACTTATCAAAGACTTTGCATGCACACCGAGCCCCTCACGCCCTTGCCAAATTCCTTGCACGCTCATGAGTTGTGTTGCACAGGTATGGATTCTGTTGCACACACACCAATCCCTTTGCACGCATCTCCAACTCTCAGCACACACCCTGAGCCCCTGCCTTGCATACACGCACAAACACCCTGACACGCACACCTCCTGTGTTGCACACTCACTGACCCAGCTCACAACTTGTGGGTGACTTTGCACACATAGGAGCCCTCAACTCACCCACCATTTTGCTCAGGCACAGAATCCCTCTTGCACCTCCATGTGCTGACACACTCACACCCCACCCTTCACGTGCATGGAGGTTCCCTCGCACACTCACCAACCACATGCTGGTGTCCTCACACGCCTATCACGTGCCCATGTACCCCTGTGCACACCCCCAGCTCCCCTCTCTCATACGCACTGCCATCTTCATACCATTCTTTGGAGTGCACCAGAACCTTGCACGACTGCCAGCCTCCTTGCACACTCACCCTCTAAGCACAACCCCTGCCCCACCCACAGCTATAACTACCCACACTGCAAGCCATATTCACACCCAATACACATCCTCACTGGTAACAAACAGCAACCAAGGAACAGTCTGTCACATACATACACAAAGCAACTCTCAACACACCTACCAGTGCATATGCTTTGCACGCTCACACGTGTAGGCACAATACACATGCACAAAAGACACACCTCTGCAATTGTCAACACAACGATTCAGTCGCGCAACTAAATGCACTTCACTTATTTAAAGCTCGCACGTATCTATACTCAGAGACGCACCTACACACCTTCACACGTACAGACACAACAATCCACATACAATCCACACCGACCAGCAACTCTACACACACATGCTCCTTCATACAACTAAACACACTAGCACTTAGACACTACACACACCTTCAATTTTCAACACAACCGCCCACATAGTCACTTACCCACATAAACAGACAACTGTGCACACAAGCACACAGATCTGCCAGTCTCAACACGCAAGCACACGGAGCATGGCTTAACACACACACACACACACAGCCCAGCTTCACACACACACACACACACACACACGGTCTCTCTCTCTCACACACACACACACACACACACACACACACACACACACACACACACACACACAC